ATTTAACTAATTTCACATTGAATTAGTAACATAAACTTCAGTTAATTGATATTTCTAACGGATGCATTGGCATTATTTGCTTTTAGAAAACTTTAGTGTCGGATGCAGGTTGGTTTTGTCAATTTGTCGTTTGTCAGCATATACTAAGGCTTCCGTTCTTTCTACTGTATGATTATTTGACTGAGTGCATTCTATGGGCAGTTTTAATTTCTGGGTCTGCTGTTTATGGATTCAGAAATGATGGGTTTGGCACATGTTTGGCTAAGGCCAATGGGTCTTGAACTACTATTTAACGGTAGTAGTTAACCGAGTTAAGGCCAAATGGGTTTTGCTGTTAAAGGTTTTCCAGGTTCTTTCTACATTTGCCAAAAATGGTGAGCAGAAATTCAAAGATTTTAGATTCTTTTGTATTCCAATGCCTTGTTCGAATCAATGGATTGATGCTTTCTTTTGCATTTTTTGTTAGTAAATGCAATTCACACCTTATTTCTTGTTCTATAGGCTCCAAAACGAAGTGGAGTTGGAAAAGCCCCTGTTGCTGCAGCTAAGAAGAAACCAGTGGTACTCCTCTTTTACCTCCCTGTTTGCCAAAGGAACTGACTTTTACTCGTTCAGATATATTTTGGTATTGTACATAATTTTTTTTTTCCCTTTTTTAGGAGAAGGTCCGTTCTGCTTTGAACCAGTTCACCAAGACTCTTGACAAGGTTACTAGTCTGTGTATAATTTTTTTTTTTTGTCTTTTTTGGTATGTTTATTTCTTCTCATCACTATGCTTATGCTTAGATCTTTTATTAGTCATGACATTGGTATCTATTAATCTTGCTATTTCGACAAGGTTGGATTCATCATTGTCACCTTTGAGTTTTGCTCTTTATGCTTCTGTCTTATGGTTCATTATTATGGCTTGGTGAATGTTATGGTACCTTTAGCTTAAACATAAATGCTTTTTTGAAAATCTATCACTTCAATTAGTGAATATCTTTATTCCACAAAAAACATAAAAGCAGTTCTAATAAAAATCTTGTACAGGGTAGAAAATGGCAAGGGGAAGAAAAAGGAAACCAATAATTGTAAATGTTCAAGACGCAATCAATGATGAGTCTTCCTCCCAACAGCTGCAACAAGATGAAGCTGGATCAGAAATAGGAACTGACCAATTTGCCCACCCAAGGAGAAACTGTGATATTTTAATATCATCTATTTTCACTTTAAACTGTGATGTTTTGATTTAATCTTTTTATTGTTAAATAATGAATGTTATATACTAATGTTTAAATGTTATTTTACAGGTACAAATATCCACAAAATTCCAATAAAACCAAAAAGAGGGGGTACTAAGTGCTTTGATGTTCACAAGCTAGGGCCAAATGAAAGGATTAAGGTTGATATTAATCGAAATGGGCAAGCTGTTGGTCCAGGTGGTCAAAAGCTCAGTAGTTTCTTAGGCACAATTGCTAGGAATTCCATGCTATGTCCTTTAAATTATGAAGATTGAAGGGACATGCCCGAGACTACCAAGGCTGACCAAATGGCTTATATTAAGGTAATATTACCATCTAAAAATTGTTTATTGATTTATTTGATGATGATTAATATGATATTAATCATTGTTTATTTGATTGTTTCTTTTTTTTTTTCTTTTTAAAGACAAAGTTTGTTTTCTCTAAAAAGCTTCAATATTGGATAAATAAATCTTTGGCAAAAAAGTGGAGGTATCACAAACATAAACTAGCCAACAGCAAATACTTTGACCCTAACAAAACACAGGAGGAAAATTGTAGAAAAACGCCTCCGAATGTCCCTCTCAACAACGGCAGTTTTTGGTGAAGTACTTCTTGTCACCTGAATGGAAGGTGATGAATGCTACATGTTTTAATGAATTATTTGTTTCTTATGTCACAGGCTGTTATATAATTCTTTTTTTTAAAAAAAAAACTTTGTCAAACATTGGGAAGAAAAGTAGGGCACAACAAAAGGGATTCCATACTTGTGGAAGCAAGAGCTTGCTAACAAAGCGGAGGAGCTTTTAAGTTAGGATTAAGTTTGATTATTTAAATTTTACAATCATTATTGAATGTGTTATTGACTATATGAGATTTTATAACAGATTAGATAATTTCCCCATTTTGTTTGAGCACAAATACTTGAAGAAGATCCCCCTATTTTACATCCCATTTTGTTGGTATTTTTAATGCATTTGGATTAGCAAATTTTGACTACTCCAGTAAGAGGAAAGGAACTCTGATTTTCTCAAAATTTTATTCTTAATTTCTGCTCCAGTCCAGTTTGTTAGGATTATTTCATGGTTGACTTGGTTTGAATTAGTTTGAATTTGACTGATTCTTATCTTGATTTGGAGACTCCTTGTAAGTTTCTCCTTGGATTTTACTTTGCTGAAACATTCCAAAATGCTTTACTTATTGAAATGTTTGTAGAGAGAAGAGCATTTGGATGATGTTGGGAAGATTGAATTCTATCGGATAACACACACCTTAAAGAATGGTAATATTGTTGATGAAGAAGCTAAGAGAATCTTGGTTCGTATTTGGTTCCATTTTTATTTTCTTTTAAGGAATTATAGATATTATATGTTTCCTTGTTTCAGTTACAATTTCTGAGCATTTTTTTTATTCACTTTTTGCAGAATGAGGCTGAAGCTACTTTTGAAAAATATAAGCAGGAGAGCCCAGATTCAAGCACTAAAGATTTGTTAAAAGCTGAAAGGAAAATCATGCCCCAAGTTAGGGGGTCCGAAAGGAGCGGACGTGTAAGAGGATTGGGGTTAGGACCAACCCCAACATCAATTGGTATCTCCAAGGCTTCTTCAAGTAAAAATTGCAAACTGAAAAAAGTGAGAAAAGAGTTGAAAGATCTGAAGGGGCAGATGTCAGCTGTACTTGGAATTCTCAAAGATGCTGGATTGGTGAGTCAATATCAATGCTGAGCTTATATTATTGTTATAAACAAATTAATTTATGTCCTACTACTTCCGTCCTTGGATGCTTTGGATGAGTTATTTTGATTAATTTAGTGCTACAATCATTTCTAATTTCATCTGATTTTAAAGAACTGCTCCTTATATGTGCACACATGCTTGGATAGTTATATTTCTATGTTTTTGCATCCTTAGGCTATGTGCTAACAACATGCAGACTTGAGTTTACATCCAAGAATTACATCTACCATGAAATTAAAAGAAAGAGAAAATCTATGCCAAAGGAGAAAAGGGCCTTGATAAAAAATTACCAATGGCTAATGGTCAAGTTGATTAGAGATTTCATCAAAGATACTACTTAATTTGACGAAACACTAGAATTGAAAATTGAAATTCATGAGGTAGGCAAGGTATTTGAAATAATGCAATTTTTATTTTGAAATACATAGTTCCAAATACATGACACTTCAATTAAACTCACATTCCCAAACATAGCATTAGTGAGTATTAGGTGTTACTTAAAAAACTCCATGACCCAGGAGTTAAATACAAAACATTTAT